TCGATTTTGTAATCGACTTTGTTATCGATTTTATTATAGATATTTTTTATCGATTTTATTATCGATATTTTTATCGATTTTGTTATCGATTTTGCTATCGATTTTCTTATAGATATTTTTATCGATTTTGTTATCGATATTTTTATTGGCTTTGTTATCGATATTTTTACCGATTTTTATAGATTTTGTTGTCGATATTTTAATCGATTTTGTCATCGATATTTTCATCGGTTTTGTTATCGATATTTTTATTGGCTTTGTTATCGATATTTTTACCGATTTTTATAGATTTTGTTGTCGATATTTTAATCGATTTTGTCATCGATATTTTCATCGGTTTTGTTATCGATATTTTTATTGATTTTGTTAACGACTTTGCTATCGATATTATTTTCGCTTTCGTTATCGATTTTGTTATCGATATTTTTACTGATTTTCCTATCGATATTTTCGGAACTTATCGATATAATGATCGATTTTTTATCGATTTTTTTATCTATATTTTTTTTTTATCGATAGTACCGATATTTTTATCGATTTTGCTATCGATATTGTTATCGCTTTTGTGTCCGATAATTTTATCGGTTTTTATATCGATATTTTTTATTGATTTGGCTATGGATGTTGTTATCGCTTTCGTTATCGATATTTTTAAAGGTTACGTTATTGATTTTGTTATCGACTTTGTAATCGATTTTGTTATCGACTTTTTTACCGATTTTTATAGATTTTGTAATCGATTTTTTTTATCGATATTTCTATCGATTTTGTTATCGATGTTTTTATCGATTTTGCTATCGATATTATTGTCGCCTTTGTTATCGATATTTTTTTCTTAGTGTGTGCTTTCGTTTTTGACTTGGATATGTTCTTAACCATACCACGTATTCTACGTTTAAATTTAGCGGCTGTATCTCCGATACAGCCTGCAGACCAAGACGAAGGCGCTGGACTGTTCCTATTTTGTTCATTGGGCAGGGTTTTAACGTGGCGGGACCCAAACCCAGCGCACGTGGGGTGTTACGCCCTCCCACTTTAGCTCACTCCCAAACTTGTGTTTGGTCGCTACCCAGAGGATTCATGAATATAAATATCCGAACGTAGTGAGCTGCGATTTGAACCGTAAGCACACAAATCACTTCTGGCCACTCCCAGGTGAATGGCAAAAGCTTTGCAGTACTGGGAAATTTACAGAACATAGTGGTCAAAGGCGAATATCTCAACTAAACCCTGATGTATTTTTTAAATTCATAGCTCTACAGCTGTATAGTAAACCAAACAGCCGGACCAGACATTATTAAAAATAAAAAATTAAAAAAAATACACTTTTCCGTATACTCTGTAATATTCCCCGCAATTTTGTAAGGTAAACTAACAATTTATAATCGTTGCTTTGCAGCGAAATATCTTCTCTTAAATTATATACATACACTGAGGGAAAAAAATATTAAAATCAAATAGAAACGTAATTGATCTTACTATAAACGTCAACGAAAGTACTGTATATTGGTAAATATTCAATTCAATTACGCGCATATTAAAATGACCGCGTTCGTACTGAAAAAGCATCCGTGAAGTGAATAATCAAGACAAAAACTAAAAAAAAATTTAATTTGCATGTTGCCTGCAGTGGAATTCGAACCCGTCCATCTCCGGATATTAACAACTTGTGGCAAGCATCTTTGCGCACTCAGCTACAACCAGGCATATAAATTTGCTTTCAAATGTTGAATATCCATCAACACCACAGCACTCGATTTGTACGGATATACATGTATGTACTATGTATGTATTTGTGTGTTCTCACCGCTCTCAGTGCGGCGCTCTGCATGCTTGGGGTGCGTACACTTACATATACATACTCAGATGTGAACAGTCAAATACGTGCGTAATAAATTTTGTATGAAAATATTATTTTTAAATACGAACATTTTTAAACGATAATCAAATATAAAGTATTCATTTTTACTATGCATTATTTCCCTCAGTGTATGTATGTATAAATATGACGACGTGTTGAACATTCNTAGCTCACTCCCAAACTTGTGTTTGGTCGCTACCCAGAGGATTCATGAATATAAATATCCGAACGTAGTGAGCTGCGATTTGAACCGTAAGCACACAAATCACTTCTGGCCACTCCCAGGTGAATGGCAAAAGCTTTGCAGTACTGGGAAATTTACAGAACATAGTGGTCAAAGGCGAATATCTCAACTAAACCCTGATGTATTTTTTAAATTCATAGCTCTACAGCTGTATAGTAAACCAAACAGCCGGACCAGACATTATTAAAAATAAAAAATTAAAAAAAATACACTTTTCCGTATACTCTGTAATATTCCNGTGTATGTATGTATAAATATGACGACGTGTTGAACATTCTGAGTATGCAGATTTTTTATACTGGTATATTCATTTATGCTAAATATATTACTTGATTTTGTTTTGTCACACTCTGCAATAAATAAAAAATTCATTAAGGGCCGTTAACTTATCTATTTTAAAGTATAGTTAAAGCAATAGTTAAACTTAACTACAGAAAATTCTGTGTAATTTTTCTGTAATAAAGTTTAACTAATGATTTCACTATAATTTGAAATATATATATTAGCAGCCTCTATTATCCTATTTTTTATAGAAACTTATGTGCGCTATGTGTTTTCTACCGTCTGCTATAATTACTTAAGAAGTAAACGTCTTGGCTGTTCACCAAACCGGTAGTTTTATCAATAATCTCAGATTGGTTCTGGGATACAAAACTTTCGATGTACGCTTAGAAGACACAAACCTAAAGACAAAGTAATAAACAATTGAACTATAAATTTATTTATAGTTCACCGTTCAATCCATTTTCGCTCTTTGTCGACTGCAGCCAGGTTTTTTCGCTTTTTAAATGGAAGTGCTTTGAAGTTAGAGCGAATAACTTGATACAGATGATCCACATATCCACTTTTTAAATCAATTTACTTATTAATTTGTTAGCATGGAGTATATGATTTGTTATATTGTATATACATATACTATAGGAAAAAACTTGGAAGTTAGGGGGGCCGAAATGATCGAACAAACATTTCCTGGTACTATTATTGAATATCTAGGCAAAATTTTGGAAGTCAGGGGGGGGGGGGGGAGATGGGGGCTTGGGCCCACCCTGCCCCTACCTGGCTACGCCGATGGATATTAGTAAATTTACGAGCTGACGCGACGTTACAATAAATAGAAGTGGATTTGGACTTCGATTAAAAAAATGCAAAATTCTGCGAATTGGGCAAGACTATGTATGTAAAAGCTTTTGTAGCAATATTGGAAATGTTTAAGGTTAATTTTTCAAGTTTTTAAATGTAGAAAATTTCTCGGCTTAACGTATAATCAGCTGAATTATCTGACGTGACGTTACCTGGCGTTACGATACTAAAATTTCCATTGAAAAACTTTTGTTAGTATTGTTCTTGAAAGAATTTTTAACGGGAAGAAAACATGTATCTTATGTCGAACGTAGCTTTTATTTTGACATCAGCGCTACCAGCGGTTCCATTATTTTCAAATCTATGTGCTTCTACGTTTCAACTAAACAAGCCAAATCAGAAACAAATCAGAGCATAAATACGGTTTTTCAAACTATCTCGACCCTGGCGCCACCTAACGAGACAATTTTTGGCAAAACTGTTTCTGCTTACATAACCAGTATATGTATATTATAAATAAAAGCCAAATCGGCCTATAAATAAGATAGATATAGGAGTTTTAATTTTTTTTACGCTGTAGACTTTTCGCTGGACTCGCCCATTTACCGTTAAGAGGCGACCTAGAACTTTAGGTCCCTTCACTTCTGTGACAAGATCAACATGCACATTCTATTATAGAAGTATACACATATGTTGAAAGCCTTAAACAATATGTAGGTAATAGTTCTCAAATTAAGCAACTGTTAGACTATAAAATCCTTACTTTTGACGATAAAACGCCCTTAGATTGCCTTTACTTACTTACTTGCTTACTTTTTATTTCTATAACCAATTTACCAAGCTTGGTAAGAAAAGCCCAAATACGGCTTTATTTAAACAAATAGTAACTCCAAGTATTTTTCGTTTTATTAAGGCCTGTTAAATAAGTTGCTTAATTTTAACTGGATGTGGACAATGTTTTTAACAATTTTGGTAAATTATACTTTTTGACCGCGGCAACACTGGCCAGGATGTATGCGTGGACTCAGCCTACTACTATAGGGGCTACCTATTATCACTTAAAAGCTCGCTCTTATGTATAGTAGCCATACATTATGCTGTGTCGTTTTTCAAGAGGTAAAAGGGTTGAAGAAGCGCATGTGCGAGGGAACATACATACATATGTATATTAATAATCTAAGATTATACAATGTGAGAGCACATAGCGAGTGCAACAAATTTTCCGTTGTTAACAACAGTGTTTTTAAGAGTATTGACTTTTCGAAATTAAAAGGTTTGCACAGTAAGTGCCTTATTTCCTCCGAAATCAAAGCAACCCTAAGTATTATCGGTTATATTAGATATAGGAATTAATAAAAACTTTTTTAGCCAACTTTAACTTAAAAATAATAAAAATTTATATCGTACAGTTAATAATATAGATACATAGTAAATTAAAAATTTAAATTTTTGGAGATATCATCATACAATTAATAATCTGGATAAATATAACTAAACTCCAAAAATGGCGAAGATATGCGTCATTTCATCTGTTTTCTTGTATACCAACTATGTATGTATATGAATTGAACAAATTTTGACTGCGTTTTCCCACAAAAGTAAAATTTATCTTTATTATTAAACCAATGATAATTTACAGTAGGTGATTTTAAACGCAAAATTATTGCTGATTACATGCAACACTCGACGCACACTTTCCGCCTTTTAGAGCTTTCAAAGCTTCACTAGTGTTTCTTATTACATATGTACTTGCTTACTTGTCTAACATTCGGCCACTTGCGTAGAAAATCAATTACGTATCGTTTGTCACGCTCCATCCAATCAGAAAATGCTCAGCAATTTGAGCCTTTCATAGGATTTTCTATACTGTAATGTCTCAAAACGCTACTGAGCATCGACCGTGAACGTTGACGAGGAATAATTGCAGCGCTGAAGGTGAACACATATTAAAAGAAAAGGCCATAAATTTGTAGTGAAAAGTTTACAAAGGCAAACTAGAAGTTTAGGTAGTTTTTTGGAAGTGATTTAGTGCAAATTTAGGCTTTGGCGAAACAAAATTATGCAATTTTAGCTTTAAAAGAATGCTTGCAGGCAACCTACTGTGATGTCGAACGAAAAAATCACTTTGATGATATGAAGTGTAGGAGTGCGGGCGATAAAACTTTTGGTTGGCTACATATATATGTATGTACATAAGTATGTATATTTTTTAACTGGAGGAGTACACGGTTGTAGTGCCAAGCAAAAGTGTAACACCATTACCTAAATAAAAATTAGATTAAAAAAAGTAGATTAATTAATTGAAAGCAATCTTACAAATAAAACTATTTACATAAAGGAAAACTCAGTTCATGGAAACTCGGTCAATAGGCCTAGAACACTGCAAATGGTCATTGTAATATAAAATTATTGATTTTTTCTATGGTAACATTGAACAAAAAAGCATGCGTGCAACTTCAGGAGCTTCATATATTAATTATTTATGATCTCATTTTTGCTGATCTGGTAACTTTTTGTAGTACGCAAAATGTCTTCATATCAATTGTTGTGTAATCGGAAGAAGCTCAAACGTAGCTCTGGTCTTTCTACCTAAAAGCCCTTCAAAGCGATCTGAAGTGGTTTGCTTGGGAGAAGGACATGGCAAAAATGTCGATGCAATTAAAGTAATGCAGCGGAGATAAAATACCGTAAACAATAGCAACTAAGCCATGCAACATTTAAACAATCCTGATGCAGTAACTGTGGATAAAGTCATAGAAAATTAGCCCAAAGTTGTTGAAAATATACGAAGGGCACACTCCAGATGCATTTCATTGATTCATCAACAATGCTTTCCACTGTAAGAAAAAATCTCTATTCCGAATGTCGTCTCAACGCCGCTGAGCTTATAGCCAAAAAGACAAATACACACACACACATACGCAGTGGATGATACAGAGAAAGAGAGCGCTACGTAAAACTCTGGATAAATTATTTGTAAAAAACTAAAACTTAAAAAGCCGTGGCAATTTTTGTACTCCGTCTCGATTCCTCTCCTCCTCGCTGATATTTGCAGAAACTGCATATGTGCGTCTATTCTCCTAAAAGTCGACTACGAATTTTCTATAGGCCATCGGCTCGAGCGAAACAAAAACCACATAAAAATGTCTAAATCACCAGCATATCCTTCCTCACTGAACTACATATGTACAGTTATCCGCTTGAGTACATGAACACTTGCATATGCGTATATAAGTTTTGCGACTTTGTTAGAATAGGGGGGGATGGTTGTGTTTTATGGAAAAAATTCAATTTTGAATTGTGACTTTTTTTGACTTAGGGTGCGATATGTATGTATGTTAATATATACGGTTTGCTCTACACACACATACGTATGTACAAACATTAAGGGCCGTTTGCACCATGTCTAGTTAATTCTAACTCCCAGTTAAACATCTTTATCGACGTTATCGACACTCATCATATAACATGTGATCGATAAAGCAGTTAACGTGCTTAACTGAAGGATGTACCTCCAGTTAGCGTTAACTAGACATGGTGCAAACGGCCCTTAAAAAGTTATGTATGTATTTTCGCAATCTCACTGGCGCATACTTATACCAATACATATTTTTTTCTGCATCGTTCACCGGTTTTCCTCCTTTGCGCTCTCAGCGCCATTAGCATCCACATCACAAAGCCAACTAGCAAAAAAAAACAGCTTACAACCCAACGAAGAATTAACCGACAAACTGTGTTAATAAAAGCACATCCTCAACGCAAATAGTCATACATAACTAAAAGCCCTGCATTAATCTGCATTGCTCTCTACTAGGAATGGAAAGTTTTGAAATATAATCGATTCTTAAATCTTATTTAGTCCTTACGATTCTTGGAATCGAATAATCGACGGCGAGATTCGAATTATTCGATTCTAATCGATTCTTTACGACAATCTTTCTTTCAGTTGAAAAATCTATAAAACGGCCATAAATCATAGCTAATAATGCTATTAATTATAATGAATCAATTAGTATTACTGTAACAAAAGTTTTAGTAATAATTTTTAACAATACATTTGTTGAAAAACCGCTTCATTTGCTATAAAATGTGTCATTGACTCATATTCACGGTACAGTTTGATATGGAAAGTAAATAAATTTTAATCCCCTCCTTAAAATTGCTTTTTTCATAAATTCATTTCTAACATCTCTATGAATATGCGTCAATTAGTCTTACTTAACCCTTCTGCAATGTTTGCGTCGAAATGACCCAATTTTCATAACAAAAATATTTAATTACAGAGTTAGGCAATTTTAAATAAGCTGCATCGTTGTCTATACGTCAAAAGCGTAATTATCTATGGTTTTGCAAAAATATGAGGGATTATTATTTTATTTTGTTTTCTAGAAGACAACATAGTTTTTCCATACACCCACAGTGTTTCTGGGTCATTTTGACCAAATTATTAATTAGTATTTAAGGCCAACTTTGAACTGGAAAGAATACAGCACTTGCCGATAAAGTGTCTGCAAATAAAATATTAACTGAAAAACATTTTTTTTCTTAAAATTGCCTAATTTCTATTATTGGGTCCCAAATGACCCGAAACATTATAAGAAGGGGAAGTTCTAAATACTGCAGAAGGATTACCATTTATGGTAGTCATGCCAGAAATTTCGCAATTCTAACAACTGACGCGTATCTAAAGATATATGAAAAATAAGAGAATCGAGTTCTCAGAACCTATTCTCGATCGATTCCGAAAATTTAGAATCGGTTCTCTAAAATCGATTATTTCGAGAAAGACTTCGATTCTAGAGTGGAATCGGAATCGATTTTTCCATCCCTACTCTCAACTATCACGCTATACCAGCCACCACCAATGCAGGCCAGTTTGTTCGACTATTTCGTATTGATTTGGTGTGATTTTCTTATTGAAAAGTATACCCAAAAACTAAACTAAGGTACATAAATGCATGTATGTATGTATGTATACATAAAATATTCATTTTATGATCACATAATTTAATAATGTTTCAACAAATACAAAAAATAATCAAATACCAACGCTGTAGAAAAGTGCTAAGAACAACATAAGAAATCGCGCAAACGTTGTAAGATTTTCTCTCGCTGAGTGATAAGAGCAACGACTACAAATAGCAATAAAAGCTGTGAAAAGGGACTAAAAAAACGTTAACGATAGGATTTTCGCTGTCATTGTACTGGTACACAGAAGATCTATTAAATATACAAAAAAGGTAAGTGAAACTCAAAAATAGAAAAAAACGATTTTAAACCAGGGACAGGTATTTTTTTCAACAGTTACACTTGGCTATATATTTTGAAGTGAAATAAAAGTCTTTTTCTAAAAATACACAAACAGCTTATCCAAATTTAAAAAATTTGGTATCAAATGAAAGAGGACCAAAATAGCTTTAAAATTTAAATGTTTAAACGAAAAAAGCCAGCTATTGAAAAATATTTCAATAAAAAATGACATTTAAATACAAACGTTAGGTCAGGTATATGAATTTCTTTTGTATTAGATTGTATAAAAAAATATAAATAGAAGTGGTAACCTTCGTCCATTACTGCTGTTTAAAAGCTATTTAAGTCCTCTTTCATTTGATACCAAATATGTTTAATTTCGATAAGCGGTTTGTTTATTATTAGGAAAATACTTTTATTTTGGACTTAAAAATATCAGGCCAAGTTTAACTGTTGAAAAAAATAACTGTTATTTACGGCCCCTGTTTTAAACCTTTAAATAAGTATGTTTTTCTGATTTTTGTTACGCAATAAATTTTGTCACCACTAGAAATACTCTACACTAGGAAAAGTCCGCCGTTCACCCCTGAGTCTAAAGTATTTTTGCAAAGAAAAATGTTCATGTGTTTTATTTTAGCCTAACCTAGGAGTAGCCTTTTTACATCTTTGTTTTTGATGTGTATACATCTTTGGTTTCGGTAGGGGTAAAGCTGTAACGCATATGTATACATACTAAAGTTTGTATGTACATACTAAGGCATCTAGTACCGGGTTTCGGGATACCGGGATATAATATGATTTACGACCAAATTAAAATAAAACGACATTCAGACACTGTAATGGCATAAAAGATTTATAAAATGCAACCCTACAAATAATCAAATAATATATTACAATTCTAACACTACCACTATTCTAGGTTATAATATGTATAAGATATATATGAGGCATTCTTTTTCATATCGAACACCAAATTTGGTGTCACAATTTCGATTGGCTTCACATTTTTCCTCTTTTCTTCGGATATATGATTTGTAAAATTTTGGATTTTTTCGTGATTCTGACTGAATAATCATGTACTTCTTCAAATTGTTATATCTCAGGTTCTGTTCATCGTAGAGACTTCATTGTTGACTCTCACACGACCTCGACGTAAAAAAAAATATTTTAAAAATAGTTCTTGAAAAACTCCCATTTTTTGGATGGACGATGGTGTAATTTTAAATTCCAAACTTACTGGTCTTTGCTATGCAAATCAACTTAAAGTTCAACTGTTAATAGCTAAGTTAACTTTAGGACAATCGTAACCATCGTATGAAAGCCCGTTTCTTTATCTTCAAAACGACGTTAAGGTAAAGTCTCTACGATGAGTAGAGCCCGAGATATAACGATTTGAAGAAGTACATGAATGGTCAGAACCACTAAAAAATTCGAACTTTGACAGATCATATCTACGAAGAAAGAAAAGAAAAAGAAATCCTCGAATACATGTTAGCTTATTTCATGNTTTGTCAAAGTTTATTAAATGTTTTTAAACGTTCACACGCGGGCTATATCCCTTTTCTGGCACCACTGTAGGGCTAGCAACTAAAACGCAAATGTTCGCTTGTAATGTTACACGTTTATTTTCACACGCACAGAGTTACATAGTTATACTTATTCCTATAAGTGGCGACTTCGCTTGGTGGCGGTTACAAATATTCTAAATTATTCCTGTCCTTCGATCGTCTTGTCAAGTCTTTCGGTATGTTCAGTACGGTTCGTTTTTTCCTTGTCAGTGTTGCATTTGTCGATCAGTGTTAGTCCGGTTACCCACTGTCATAGTTGTACCTGAAGATGTCGATAGTCGTGTACATCATTTCCCACATGTATAGAACCCATAAAAAAATTTGAAGCGAATCGGAGACATGACATTATTTTTTTTACGAAATCCGTCCGACTTGTATATGTACATAAGTATATATACATATATGCTGTTGCATACTAATATTACTACACGGATGTGTGTATGTATAAACACCATATGTAAGTGTAGAGAGGATCTCTTATTTTTTACAATATGAATGAATTTCAATTCCATAGTTTTAAGTTTATTCAGTTTGTAATTAGCTTTTTAAACTGATATAAAATAAAGACATTTATATTTCTTTGCTTAAAAACAAAAATTTATTTTTCTTTCAAGTATACGCACCAAAGCAAGACTACAAAACTAGGTTGTTAGCATATTCTAATTAATAGTAATAATATCCCGAAATATCCCGGGGTTACTAATTTAAGATCCCGGAATCCCGGGTTTCACAAAATGGTCCGGGATTGGATGCCTTAGTACATACATATGTATGAACTCATTTATTGCAACTGGTTTTGGTATTCGTAGATGGTTTTAGGCATATGTTTAGTAGTCTATTTTGATAAAAAAGCGAGGCCAAAATTTAAAAAAATACTGAACTCATTTTAACTGGGACCGTGGATGACTGATGAACATACATGAATATATGTATATATGTATAATATTAAGGTGACCAGAATTTTTTAACATTCCAGGAGGACAAATTCTCCACATTGGAAACACACAAAAAAAAATGTATATTTATTTTAATTCGAATAAATTAACAATTCAAAGTTTCTCTAAACACAAGTCAAACAATTTAATAGTACACTGTGTTGCATAATTATAAGACCGCCACATATTAACAAGTTTTGACTATTTCTTTTTAAATTATTTTATTGTCATTGTATTACTTGCAAAAGAAATTGCTTGTTCTTCGTATTTCGTCAAAGTTTGATTATAATTTTGTATCAACGCTATATCTCGTTCAGCAATATCATTAACCTATTTAATACTCTTAATCGTCTCTAAGACAACCAACTTCAGAGTTAATTTTTTAGAGAATTTAATGCCCTACAAGAATATGCCCAGAAAAAACGTATATCCCTTTTTTATAACCTTTTTTAACGGTTCAAAAGTTATAACATCTTAAATGGAAACAAGTTTTTTTACATGTTACTTACATATAAAACTTCAAATGCCTACCGACACTTTTTAAAATTTAAATACATTTTGTCTAAATGGAAGAATTTCCTTCTCGATAAATAAGTAATTTTAAGGCCATAAATTCGCTAGGTTAGTTATTTTGGATCACACTAATATACATATATATACACAAGAACTACTCGTTTAAAGTAATAAGCATGATAAAAAGATACAAGATAAATTCATTCTCTCAATTCGTTGGCCATGATTTTTTTCTGACATTTGCCAGCATTTTAAAATCATATAAAATTGAGAATAAAAAAATGAAATTGTTCGCAATTGTTGTTGCTTGAGATTGAAAATGGGAATGTGTGTGTGAGTTTGAGTTTTGAATTGTTAAATTATATTGTTGGCAAACGTCAAACTGCCTTTCAATGGTTTTACCTTGTTATGTTTTTATCATGGTAATAAGTATAAGTGGCAAAATTTTCCGGAAAGCACCCCCCAAAAAATAGTCTGTACCCGCCGCTGGGCCTGTGCTATTTTTGATTATGTATTGGACGGGAAATAACACATTTTCTTAATTTTTTTTAAGCATATTTGCGCTCCAATGCAACGAATATACATGTTTTAAGTGATCTTACAAATGGCTTTATCAAGATAAAAAATCCCCACACACAAGTATTGCCACTGATAAAACTTATACACGTTTGGCAAACAAAATGACATATGGTAGGCAATAATTTTCGCCTGTGAAGACGAGTCGTAATACGGGTTTTACTGTAATTGTAATGCGAATTATGAATGAGAGCCGTATTAAATATTATTGATTAAGGCTAAAAGGCATTTAAAGTGTGTTTGCATTGTTAACACTGCGTTCAACATCTGCGTTCAACTCAGCGCAGGGTTGCACTAAAAAAAGTTGAATGGCTAAAAGTATCAAAATATGAAAAGATATCAAAATATTCGCCATAAAAACGTGTTTGCATTGTTCAACTTTGCATGAAACTTTTGGTTGAATGGCCTTTAAACTAACCGCTATCAACAAACTTGATCGCCAGTCAGCATTTAACCATTCAACTTTTTTTTTTGTGCGACCCTGCGTTGAGTTGAACGCAAAGTTGAACACTGCAAACACTGCTTTACACTGTTCAACTTTCACAGGCGGTTAGTCGAATCAAAAGTTTACATCATTTAACTAAGAGTTGAACAATGTAATCGCCTTTTAAATATAATTATTATGTACGATTAAGAAATATGTATGTAATAATATTCTCATCGAAATTTTTTGAAAATTTCATCACTGCATCAAGTTTTATACTTAACAAGTAAAGAAGTATAAGTTGGGGCGAAATCGAGTATTATATACCCGGCGCAGGTATAAATATCGTCGTTTCAAATTTCTCTGAACTACCTTTGCATGATAAGTAGGGGTATTTAATCGATTTCAAACGTTTTCGATAATATGCAGATTAATGATATAATTGAACCTGGTTAGGTACAAATTGATTAAGTGGTTACCGAGGTACACCTTTGTAGTTATAAATTGGACGGTGCTACGCCCAACTCCTAAAAGTCTATATCAGTTATTTATTGTAAGGAGATTGTTGTAACTATTAACTTGGAGTAAATTAGCGTCCTCAGTTATAGAAATATCGGAGTTTTCGTATTTCTGAAATTTACCGTTATACGGGAATCGGGTGTGATTTCAGTCCGATTTGAATAATTTTCAACAAATTGCTTTTCCTTACCCAGGTTATTAAGTGAACCGAGTTTGGTAGAAATTGATAAATCGGTTACACATTTGTGGTCATAGGTGGGCGGCGCCTCGCCCATTATCCAAAAATTCATAATATTCTAATTTTTTGATAAATGGTTATTGTAATCATAGATTTTAAGTGAATTAGCTCAGTGGTTACTGATTTATCGCAGTTTTCGTGTTTCTGTGAATTACCGTTACATGACCAGTGGGCGTGCTTATTGCCCGACTTCAAAGATTTTCAACAGATTTCTTAG